TTTGTAGGTCTTCGTTGTACTGTAACAAGTGCGGTGTAGGGTTTCAAGACTTTGAATCATTACACTATCATATTTTCAACCCAATTTACCGTAATCATAACTTTCGATGTCCACTCTGTAACTACGTGGTAGGAAAGACTATAGCCGATCTTAATGATCACATTATCAAACGCTGTCAGGAAGAAGATGTTGTGAAACATGAAAAATCTGCTGTAGAAGAGTTGCCCAAAATACCGGAAAGATACTTTTGTGAGAAATGCGGAAAACCATTTTCTCTTTTTATCGATTTATTAACACACAGATCAACTCATAAAAGAGACTTAATTTCTTGTACACAATGCCCTGAAAAAGGTAATAGTTTTGAATATATGATAAAGCACTTTCGCCGACATACTGCATATCCGAATATTTCGTTAATTTGTGATATGTGTTCTGTGAAGTTTACAAAAGTATGTGTTTATGTAAATCATTGTGAATTTGTGCATAAGCGCTTTCAATCTTTTCGTTTTCAGTGTAATTTCTGCCCGAGGGTAATTTTTAATGACTCAGAAAGATTTCTCGAACACGTGCAAAGCCACTGCAAAATATCACCGAAACTGCAAAACGGAAGATTTGTTTGCGAGTTTTGTGGCTTTTGTTTTGGTTCTCGTGGAAAATATATAAAACATCGTGAAAAGGTTCATCTTTTTTCCAAAATAATTAAAAATCATTTTGAATGCCACTGCTGTGGTAAGAAGATTGCACATAGGAAAATGTCAAGCCATTTACGTCAACATGAAAAAGAAAACCTTCAACGTAAACATAATGAATTGGCCCAAAAAACTGATCAATCTGAACACATTGTCGATAATAATATAACTTCAACCTCAAATTTGACAGATTTAAAAACTGTTCGTGAAAATGAGACCACATATGTTGAACCGATTGTTTCAGAACCAGACCAGTCTGGAAACACTAAACCAATAATTAATGTCGAATATGGTAATATAGCCAATGCACAAGATATTCAAAAGTCTGAAGATCCTAAATCAAAAGTTAGTAATGTAAGAAATAAGGATGAAACGAAATCGGTAATAGCCGTTGAAAGCGGAACCAATAAAGATTTATGTCGTGATTTTGTTCTTTACACTGAAAAAAATGAAAATCAACATAATATTATGCCGTCTGGGGATAATATCATGCCATCGGTTGCAACTATTGACTTAACAACTGAGCCAATGTCGGAAAACAATCCCGGAGAGAGTCAAAAAAATGTTAATGTCTGTATTGATTTAACATCTGACTCTAATATAACGAATGTAGATTTATCGACGTCTAAATTAACTGTTACAATTAACAATGACCACTCTAAAGATAATATACAGAATAAAATAAATCTTAAACCTTTTACAGTTATTCCTTCAGATAAACTCTTATCTAACATCACAGATTCAAATATATCTGAAAAAAATGTTAAAGTCGGAGAATTAGATATTTTAAAGAAAGATAAACAAAGCACTGAAAACAAAGTTGCAAATAAAATTATGACACCTGCGTCACGTGAAACTCCAAAGCAAGATACTACTAATTATTGTAATAATAAAAAAATGAAATCTATATCCAAACCCAAAATGAATATTTTGCCAGTTACATGTGACTCGACGACGCATAATCAAGGAGAATTTCTTCAACAACCTAGTTATCAAAGCCCTCCCATCTCCGTATTGAGCAATGCAGTTGTACCGAGCGAAATACAATCTTTTGATCCATCTCATTTAAATCCATATAATGACCAATTTAAGGGAAATCTTAATTCATATGGAAGTAATGCCTCGATGGATACTTCCTATCAACAGTACTATCAGAATATTTACGACAACCAAAATATACAGGCTTGGCAATCAATTGTATCTGCTCAATTAGTAAATCAACAAACATTTGTCCCTCTAACACCAATAATGGCACCTCAACCAGTTGTCCCACCGTTTATAGCTTCTCAGCTGCCATCTCAGTACCCAGTTCGAGAGACTAATTATAAATGCGCTGGATGTAAAAAAGAAGTTCCTAGTCTACCGTTATTAGAAGTTCATTTTCTGTTTTGTTATAAAATGGAATTAGAGGTGCTTAAAGACCCAAGAGAGGATTGCCCGGTTTGTGGGATTAGGTTTCCTTCTTTCTCTAATCTCAAGAATCATATCTCTCAAGGGCACTATGAATTGTTATCAGAATATAATTTAATTTTTCGAAGGTCTGATTATATATGTGATACCTGTGGCCTATTATTTTATTCCATGCAAACTTTAGAAGAACACCACCAAAGCCATATAACTCCTGAAAAAATAACAACTGATTTTAATGATGGTAAATTGGATAAACCTGATAAAACTCGCAGTATAGACTCAAACAAGACTTTGAAAACTCAACATTCTCTTGGACCGAAACATCAACAAAGTCATAGAGCTCCTGAAACAAGAACAACTGATTTTAATGATGGTAAATTGGATAAACCTGATGAAACTCGCAATATTGACTCAAAAAAGACTTTGAAAATACAACATTCTTTTGTATCGAAACATCAACAAAGCCATAGAGCTCCTGAAACAAGAACAACTGATTTTAATGATGGTAAATTATATAAACTTGATGAAACTCGCAATATTGACTCAAAGAAGACTTTGAAAATACAACATTCTTTTGTATCGAAACATCAACAAAGCCATAGAGCTCCCGAAAAAAGAACAACTGATTTTAATGATGGTAAATTGGATAAACCTGATGAAACTCGTAATATAGAGTTAAACAAGACTTTGAAAACACAACATTTCCAATCGAAACATCAACAAAGCCATAGAACCGGAAAAAGAACATCTGCTTTTATTGATGGTAACTTGGTGGTAACTACTCCCAATATACCTGATGAAATTCCCAATATGGACTCAAAAAAGACTTTGAAAACGCAACATTCTTTTGCATCCAAACATCAACAAAGCCATAGAACTGAAAAAAGAGCATCTGCTTTTATTGGTGGTAACTTGGATGAAACTTCCAATATACCTTATGAAACTCCTAATACAGACTCAAAAAACACTTTGAAAACGCAACATTCTTTTGGATCCAAACATCAACAAAGCCATAGAGCACACGAAAAAAGAACAACTGATTTTAATGATGGTAAATTGAATAACCCTTACGAAACTCGCAGTATTGACTCATACAAGACTTTGAAAACACAACATTCTTTTGGATCGAAACATCAACAAAGCCATATAGCTCCCGAAACAAGAACAACTAATTTTAATGATGGTAAATTGGATAAACTTGACGAAACTCGCAATATTGACTCAAAAAAGACTTTGAAAACACAACATTCTTTTGTATCGAAACATCAACAAAGCCATAGAGCTCCCGAAAAAAGAACAACTGATTTTAATGATGGTAAATTGGACAAATCTGATGAAACTTGTAATATAGAGTCAAACAAGACTTTGAAGACACAAGATTGTTTCCAATCGAAACATCAACAAAGCCATAGAACTGAAAAAAGAACATCTGCTTTTATTGGTGGTAACTTGGATGAAACTCCCAATATACCTGATGAAACTTCCAATATAGACTCAAACAAGACTCTGAAAACACAACATTCTCTTATGACATATAAAAAAGAAATAAAATTTTCCATACTGAAACGTCCATCTAAACAAATTTTAGGCTTATATAGGTGTGAGCAATGCAAAAAAATATTTAACAATTACAAAGAATTGATCAGTCATAAAATCAGCCATGGCGATTCTATCAAAGAAGAAACTTATTTGAGCTTATCAGATCCAGCTTCAATCGATTTAAACTTACTTCCTGCAACAAATATGGAATTTGTGAGAAACGAGAATATGAGTGGCGGATCTACAAGAAAAAGGAAATTATCAAATTCGGATTTTGATGTTTCTCAACACTACAACAGAAGAAGTTGTGATGAAAATCAGACGAGAAGGGTTTGTCAAATTTGCGATCAAGACTTCAATACTCAATCAAGTTTTGATCAACATAGTTGTCCAGGTCCCTTTTAATGATTATTAGATCACTTTTAAGAAAAAAAATATACAGGCATATTTTTTGTCTTTTAAGCTACCTATTTATGACTACAAACAGTTGCAGAATAATATTAAATGTCTATTTTATGACATTTTTGTGTAACTAAACGATATTAGATTTAATTTATCAAGTTATTTGATCTGTGGATAGGTTGTCATAGTAAACTAACTTATATGGTCAGAAAACGCTATTTTTATACCAAATTTGGTTGGTTTAATTTGGAACCATTTTTTTGTATACTGTGAAAAGAAAATAATTAAGCTTAGCCTAACCTAACGAATTTGATTGCTTTCAGTGTCTTGATTTTAAAATTGGATTTAATATTTCACGTCAAATTTTCATTGAGCTGCTGTATCGATCGGCTGTGATCGTAATATCCGAAAAGTAAGTTTCGGGCAGCTTATAGAAGATAGTAAAAAAGCAAAGCGAATTTCAATTAGCATTCACGCCATTGACTAGTAAAAGTGTGTCTTAGAATTAGTTGTTGATTTTTTTGGCGTAGTGTTAGCCAATCAGTGATTATGAGATTTTACTAGTAATTGTTAACAGTTTCAGAACCTCGCAATTAGTGGAATAAATTAGTGGTTTCAATTAGCGTAGAAGTTTGTTCCTTTAATTTCAATGTAAGCATTCAGGACGTCAAAATTAGTGATAGACATTTTCAATTAGTAGAAAAAGTTATCAAACTTTTAACTTTTTCATACGTTTTTTACTAATTAAACTTCAAAATTTGCGAGAAATGTCATTTTGGCCTTTGATTAGCTTCGGCCAAGAGAAATTGTGATTAGAAATCCAAAGTTGATTGTTTTATAACAGATATAACTGACTAACGCAAGCTGTTGCTAGAATATTTTATTAATTTTAATTGTGTTTTTTAAACATTGTGAATGATCGAAAACTAAAAAGTATAAAGTGTAATTGAAACCACTAATTTATTCCACAATTGCGAGGTTCTGAATAAAGCTTTACTGATTTCTGGCTTTTTTTGTAATATATACAGGGTGATTAACGGTCATGGTACGTTAGACTTTCATGGAGAACCATAAAAGATAATAGGATTTTTTTTTAAATCATAGGCTGTGAATCACCCTATATAAATTATATTTAAATTATTATCTAACTTTTATTTATTTATCTAATTTTTATTTATAATTATCTAACCTCGAATCTAACAGATAATTTTTTGTAGGTCTTCGTTGTACTGTAACAAGTGCGGTGTAGGGTTTCAAGACTTTGAATCATTACACTATCATATTTTCAACCCAATTTACCGTAATCATAACTTTCGATGTCCACTCTGTAACTACGTGGTAGGAAAGACTATATTCGATCTTAATAATCACATTATCAAACGCTGTCAGGAAGAAGATGTTGTGAAACATGAAAAATCTGCTGTAGAAGAGTTGCCCAAAATACCGGAAAGATACTTTTGTGAGAAATGCGGAAAACCATTTTCTCTTCTTATCGATTTATTAACACACAGATCAACTCATAAAGAGGACTTAATTTCTTGTACACAATGCCCTAATAAATCGAATAGTTTAGAAAATATGATAAGGCACTTTCGCCAACATACCGTATATCCGAATATTTCGTTAATTTGTGATATGTGTTCTGTGAAGTTTACAGATGTATGGGCTTATGTAAATCATTGTGAATTTGTGCATAATCGCTTTCAATCTTTCCATTTTCAGTGTAATTTCTGCCCGAGGGTTATTTTTAATGATGCAGGAAGATTTCTCGAACACGTGCAAAGCCACTGCAAAATATCACCGAAACTGGAAAACGAAAGATTTATATGCGAGTTTTGTGCCTCTTGTTTTAGTTCTCGTGGGGAACATAGAACTCATCGTGAAGAGGTTCATCGTGTTTCCAAAATAATGATCAGTCATTTTGAATGCCACTGCTGTGGTAAGAAGATTGCACATAGAAAAATGTCACGCCATTTACGTCAACATAAAAGAGAAAACCTTCAACGTAAACATAATGAATTGGCCCAAAAAACTGATCAATCTGAACTCATTGTCGATAATAATATAACTTCAACCTCAAATTTGACAGATGATTTAAAAACTGTTCGTGAAAATGAGACCACAGATGTTGAACCGATTGTTTCAGAACCAGACCAGTCTGGAAACACTAAACCAATAATTAATGTCGGATTTGGTAATATAGCCAATGCACAAGATATTCAAAAGTCTGAAGATCCTAAATCAAAAGTTACTATATTTAGTGACGTAATTGTTTCACAAGGGGTTAAGCAGGAACAACTTAAATCAAATGATGTAAAATGTGGTAACGCAGCTGTTTCACAAACAAGACAGGGCGAAAGCTTTATATCAACTTATAGTCCAGAAGCTCGACCGAATAAAAGGGCAAGAAGAAGGCAAAGGATAAAAGAAAGAATAAAAAAAGAGTCACAACGTGCTTTTGATGAAGCACGCGTTGCATTCAATAAAGATATACTTTTATCTCCTACCGATAACGTAGTTCCATTATTTAGTAATGTAAGAAATAAGGATGAAACGAAATCGGTAATAGCCGTTGAAAGCGGAACCAATAAAGATTTATGTCGTGATGTTGTTCTTCACACTGAAATGAATGAAAACCAACATAATATTATGCCGTCTGGGGATAATATCATGCCATCGGTTGCAACTATTGACTTAACAACTGAGTCAATGTCGGAAAACAATCCCGGAGAGAGTCAAAAAAATGTTAATGTCTGTATTGATTTAACATCTAACTCTAATATAACGAATATAGATTTATCGACAGTATTGAGCAATGCAGTTGTACCGAGCGGCATACAATCTTTTGATCCATCTCATTTAAATCCATATAATGACCAATTTAAGGGAAATCTTAATTCATATGGAAGTAATGCGTCGATGGATACTTCCTATCAACAGTACTATCAGAATATTTACGGCAACCAAAATATACAGGCTTGGCAATCAATTGTATCTGCTCAATTAGTAAATCAACAAACATTTGTCCCTCTAACACCAATAATGGCACCTCAACCAGTTGTCCCACCATTTATAGCTTCTCAGCTGCCATCTCAGTGCCCAGTTCGAGAGACTAATTATAAATGTACTGGATGTAAAAAAGAAGTTCCTAGTCTACCGTTATTAGAAGTTCATTTTCTGTTTTGTTATAAAATGGAATTAGAGGTGCTTAAAGACCCAAGAGAGGATTGTCCCGTTTGTGGGATTAGGTTTCCTTCTTTCTCTAATCTCAAGAATCATATCTCTCAAGGGCACTATGAATTGTTATCAGAATATAATTTAATTTTCCGAAGGTCTGATTATATATGTGATACCTGTGGCCTATTATTCTATTCCATGCAAACTTTAGAAGAACACCATCAAAGCCATATAACTCCTGAAAAAACAACAACTGATTTTAGTTATAGCGAATTGGATAAACCTGATGAAATTCGCAATATAGACTCAAACAAGACTTTGAAAACCCAACATTCCCTTGGATCGAAACATCAACAAAGTCATAGAGCTCCTGAAACACGAACAACTGATTTTAATGATGGTAAATTGGATAAACCTGATGAAACTCGCAATATTGATTCAAAAAAGACTTTGAAAATACAACATTCTTTTGTATCGAAACATCAACAAAGCCATAGAGCTCCTGAAACAAGAACAACTGATTTTAATGATGGTAAATTAAATAAACTTGATGAAACTCGCAATATTGATTCAAAAAAGTCTTTGAAAATACAACATTCTTTTGTATCGAAACATCAACAAAGCCATAGAGCTCCCGAAAAAAGAACAACTGATTTTAATGATGGTAAATTGGACAAATCTGATGAAACTCGTAATATAGAGTCAAACAAGACTTTGAAAACACAACATTCTTTCCAATCGAAACATCAACAAAGCCGTAGAACTGAAAAAAGAACATCTGCTTTTATTGGTGGTAACTTGGTGGTAACTACTCCCAATATACCTGATGAAACTCCCAATATAGACTCAAAAAAGACTTTGAAAACGCAACGTTCTTTTGGATCCAAACATCAACAAAGCCATAGAAGTGAAAAAAGAACATCTGCTTTAATTGGTGGTAACTTGGATGAAACTCCCAATATACCTGATGGAACTCCCAATATGGACTCAAAAAAGACTTTGAAAACGCAACGTTCTTTTGGATCCAAACATCAACAAAGCCATAGAAGTGAAAAAAGAACATCTGCTTTTATTGGTGGTAACTTGGATGAAACTCCCAATATACCTGATGAAACTCCCAATATGGACTCAAAAAAGACTTTGAAAACGCAACATTCTTTTGGATCCAAACATCAACAAATCCATAGAGCACACGAAAAAAGAACAACCGATTTTAATGATGGTAAATTGAATAACCCTTATGAAACTCGCAGTATTGACTCATACAAGACTTTGAAAACACAACATTCTTTTGTATCGAAACATCAACAAAGCCATAGAGCTCCTGAAACAAGAACAACTGATTTTAATGATGGTAAATTGGATAAACCTGATGAAACTCGTAATATAGAGTCAAACAAGACTTTGAAAACACAACATTCTTTTGGATCGAAACATCAACAAAGCCATAGAGCTTCGGAAACAAGAACAACTGATTTTAATGATGGTAAATTGGACAAATCTGATGAAACTCGTAATATAGAGTCAAACAAGACTTTGAAAACACAACATTCTTTCCAATCGAAACATCAACAAAGCCGTAGAACTGAAAAAAGAACATCTGCTTTTATTGGTGGTAACTTGGATGAAACTCCCAATATACCTGATGAAACTTCCAATATAGACTCAAACAAGACTTTGAAAACGCAACATTCTCTTATGACATATAAAAAAGAAATAAAATTTTCCATCCTGAAACGTCCATCTAAACAAATTTTAGGCTTATATAGGTGTGAGCAATGCAAAAAAATGTTTAACAATTACAAAGAATTGATCAGTCATAAAATCAGCCACGGCGATGCTATCAGAGAAGAAACTTATTTGTGCTTATCAGATCCAGCTTCAATAGATTTAAACGTACTTCCTTCAACAAATATGGAATTTGTGAGGAACGAGAATATGAGTGGCAGATCTACAAGAAAAAGGAAATTATCAAATTCGGATTTTGATGTTTCTCAACACTACAACAGAAGAAGTTGTGATGAAAATCAGACGAGAAGGGTTTGTCAAATTTGCGATCAAGACTTCAATACTCAATCAAGTTTTGATCAACATAGTTGTCCAGGTCCGTTTTAATGATTATTAGATGACATTTAAGAAAAAAAATATACAGGCATATTTTTTGTCTTTTAAGCTACCTATTTATGACTACAAACAGTTGCAGAATAATATTAAATGTCTATTGTATGACATTTTTATGTAACTAAATGATTTAATTTATCAAGTTATTTGATCTGTGGAGAGGTTGTCATAGTAAACTAACTTATATGGTCATAAAACGCTATTTTTATACCAAATTTGGTTGGTTTAATTTGGAACCATATTTCTGTATACTGTGAAAAGAAAATAATTAAACTTAGATTAGTGCATAAATATTTATAGGTAGAGTAAAATAGTCATTAAAAGAAAGAAGGCTTGAATACATTTATTTTCAATTTTGCAGATTAGTCTATTTTAATACAAGATGATCGAAAAAAAAACGGCGTCAGCGATGACTATACAGGGTGGCGCACCTCATTCGCCTCGGTTGATTATACGAAAACGGAAAGATGTAGAAACAAAATATTTTATGGGTATATGTGGGAAGGCAATGTGGCATAATTTAAAATATGTAATAATAAATATTATACTTATATAAAATTTTAAATATGCATGCTATAATGAAATAAATTGTCAACACTTTGTACACTACATTTCAGAATTAATTCGTCTGCTGACTTTCAAGCCAGAGAAATAAACTTTACTAAAAAATTTGTTTGCTTCTTTAACTATATACAGGGGTATCAAAAATTGCTGGACTATTTTAAATATGTATTTTACATAAAAACTTGGTTATTTCAAATGCAACACTATGTATTTTTTTAAATAAGTTGAAGCATATTTAAATGCTCTTTCAAACTATATTATCATATATGGTCTCCTATACCTATCTGGCTCAAATTTTGAATAAAAGCGAGTTTTTCAATAAACTTATAATCAAGATGGCTGGTGACGCCATGGCAATTTTCTAGTGACACTTTGTAGCTATTTTCAAACTCGACAGTAGTTTATGGACTTTGTTTAAATTTATAACCAGGTTATTTTTATTTAATTTACCTTACTTAAATGTATTTATTATTTTATCAAGAAAAAAGAAGCAATATCTGCTGGCGGAAGGAATGAATATATCACTAGTGGTTTTATTGTGTGAGAATAATTATTGCTTGTGGTCCTGAAGGGTGTACGCTCAAAGATATCCAACTAGGATTTTCTTGACAAGAGTTCCTTTGAAAAACTACTTCTCCTATTTCGCAGAGCTGATAGTGTGGTATATGAAAAAACTATTAGGCAGAAACCTGTTGTTGAAAGTGAAGAAAATGAATTTGCCTTAGTGGTTCTTTTATAGAAAATCCAATATACAGTGATGGACATATGTATGGAAAGATTTTTTTTTTAAATATTTTGTGCAACTTTCTTTTTAAACTTATTTTAAATATATTAAATGAAACAACGTTTTGTAATTTATGGAGTTTTTTTTTAGTTTTAATTTTCAAAAATAATTTCTTATTTTTCTTTTAATAAAATACATAAAAATTACTGTGGACAAAAGTATGGAAAGAAAATTTTATAAAGAAACAAATCCTAAAATCTAATATTTGGTTGCGTAACCTTTGGCCTGAAGGACTGCTTTATATCTTCTTGGCATGGAATCCACAAGGTTTTGACAAATTTCCAAAGGAATGTTCTGCCATTCATCTTGGAGTATCTCCCACAAATCTGTCGCATTGTGAATAGCCCTTAACCGAATTTTCCTTTCTAAATGCTCCCAAAGGTGTTCAATTGGGTTTAAGTCTGGCGACTGAGAAGGCCATTCCAAAACATCAACATTTGCCTCCAAAAACCAATTTTTTACCAATCGTGAGGCGTGTTTGGGATCATTGTCCTGCTGGAATCTCCATATTAGGGGCATCTCTTCTTCGGCAAATGGTAACATGGTATTTTGCAGAATGTCCCTGTACATAAAACGATCCATTTTTCCCTCTATCTTTACTAGCGGACCAACCCCAGCTCGAGAAAAGCACCCCCAGATCATAACACTACCACCACCATGCTTTACTGTTGGCTTCTGGTAATTTGCATCATATCTTTTACCTACTGGCCTTCTCACAAATAATCTACCATCAGAACCAAATATTTTAAATTTACTCTCATCGCTCCAGAGCACTGTGTTCCAGTTTTGAGATGTCCAATTTAAATGGTTTTGAGCAAACCGAATTCTGTTCTTCCGATTTCTTTTTGAGAGCAAAGGTTTTTTAACGGCCACTCTTCCCAGAAGTCCTACCTCACACAAGCGTCGTCTCACGGTGCGATCAGTAACATTGATATTAAAATTGTCACAGATTTCCTCTTTTATTTGCCGGGAAGATTTGTGTGGGTCTGCTAGAGAAATCTTTTTAATGGATCTTTCTATAAAAGGGGTAGTTGTAGCTCCCAATGTTCGATACTTCTTTAAAATTTTCGAAACTGCTCCTTCTGAAATCATTAACGATTTGGTAATTGTACACTGTTTAACACCTCTATTTTTTAACTCTATAACTAACTCTGTTGCGTAAGTCTTCAGACAAATACTTATTTTTACCCATTTTTAACAATATGTTGCTTGCCTTTGCAATAAAATCAAACTAAACAAATCGATCACAACAGCAAAAATATGAACAAGAAAAAAGCTTTCCATACTTTTGTCCGAAGCGTAAACAAAATATGTTGATAAAAATAAACAATGTAGGTAGAATAAAAATTATCTTGTGAATATTTGATATATTGATGCGGTTGTTAGCATACGAAAATATTTAAGCTGTATTATTTGTTTGAGCGAGATAAAATAGGAAATAAAAAATCTTTCCATACTTTGTCCGCCACTGTATCTACAAGTCATTCTAATATAAATCACAGAACCACTTCTTTATTTTTCTCGATAAAATAATAAAATACTTATTAAACTATTGTAGGTAAATTAAATAAAAGTAAACTATTATAAATTTAAATAAAGTCCGTAAACTAGTGTCGATTTTGAAAATGGCTACTAACTGTCACTAGCAAATTGCCATGGCATTTTATTGTATATATAGCCCTCTCGATTGCCATTTCATTGAAAAATCGCTTTTATTCAAAATCTGAGCCAGATAGGTATAGGAACCCCTAATATAGTTTGAAAGAGAATTTAAATCTGCTTCGACTTATTTTAAAAAATACATAGTGTTGTATTTGAAATAACGAAGTTTTTATGTAAAATAAATATTTAAAATAGACCAGCAATTTTTGATATCCCTGTATATATTTAAGGAAGACAATTTTTTAGTCAAGTTTATTTCTCTGGTTTCAATGTCCAGCACAATAATTAACTCCGAAAAGTAATATACAAGGTGTTTACAAACTTTTTTATTATAGCATGCATATTTAAATATCTTTAAATATCTCAAAAACCAAAGCTTCTAGACATATTAAACCATTATAATAAATGCCTTATTTCCCAAGGATATTATGCCCAAGAATCCAAAAATGAAATAAAATACCGGGTGTTCCATAAGAAAAAATATAACTTTGGTATGGATCTTAGTTCTGACACACCCTGTACATTTGAAAATAATTTTAAATTATGCACATTGCCTCTCTAGATATACACATAAAAAAAATTTGTTTCTACATCTTTCCGTTTCCGTATAATCAACCGAGGCGAATGAGGTGCGCTAGCTACCCTGTATAAAATGACGATCGCTGTCCGTTTTTTTCGATCATACGGTATTTGTGGTTTTTTGATTCAGTCTAACTTCTTAAATTTGAATTAGGTAACTAGTTTATTTTGAGATAAAAATATTTTTATCGTATTTTATTATTATATTTCTTAGTAAATAAAGGTTAGAGATGTGTTCGAGTATTTTATAGAATACAAAACTTTCTTTTGTTAAAATATCTTTATACTGAAGGGCTCAGAGTTGAAAATTTTTGGTTTACTATACAGGGTGACCCATCGAAAACGTTCCGCAAGGCATAACGATCGTTCAACCTTGTGGCAAGTGAAAAATGCGTAAACATCTAGAAATAATAAGAAAAAACAGCAAATTGATCGAAGGAATTTATCCTTATCATTTACTCTGATAAATATTTAAATAAACTTTTCAAATTTCAATCCTTCATATTTTCTCAATGACTCGACCGATTTTCAAAAACGAAGCGGGGAAATATAGAGAATAGAAAGCTCTTTTCATTGCGGCGCCACTTGACCCCTTCCCATTTGAAAAAAGTTGGGGGATGACACCCCCGCTTAGAGGGTTGAAGATTTTGCAATCATTTTTGGGGCAAAAACTGCCCCCCTCACAAACAAAATTGACGTGTTTTTGGATTTTTTGAAAAAAAAAATCCCGGCCGTTATGTCTTGCGGAACGTTTTCGATGGGCCACCCTGTACATAAATACGCCAAAGACATCGCGAGCATATTTTAGGTAAATTTTGAGGAATGTACCGTATATGCAATAATTATTTGTTGTTAATATAGAAAAAATATATATTAATTTAAAGTTTCTGAGACATACAATATTTAGACTAGTAAGTTACTTGTCCAAACAAAAAATATATGAAACGGGTGATTTTTTTGAAAATTTCGATTTCTTACTAAACGAACCAGCTCTAAGAACCTAAATTGTTTTACAGGTATTACAGTTTCACAACATTACGGTATTACAGTTTCACTGGAAATGTCGTATCTCTAAAGGTGCGTCCACATTGCTCGCGAGCAGGCCGAACGAACACGTCAAACATGAAAAACATTGCAAATAGACGGAGTGAGATGTTCAATGCGCTCGCAACGCTCGCAGTGCTCCACGTGCTTGCTCACATAAAATGCCTGTTTCGACTGTTCGGCTCTGTCGCGGTACATCAAAGAGACGCTTCGGAGCCATGCGAGCATACTTTTACGGCGGTTCGAAGCGCTCGAGCTGTTTGCGTTGTTTGTTTAGTTTTTAGTTTCGTTTCATTCATAGGATTCGGTATTTACTGCAGTATGATGATACTACCATGATTTTTCTTATTTTTTTGTTTAGAATTACAAATATTTTTGTTTTGTTCTTGGATTACTAATTTTAAATATACCTTTAATAAAATATAACTATATTTATATTGCCTACTTATCTTAATCTGATCTTTTTGAGAACTTTATTTATATTCTGGCATACCCCTGGTATTGTTTTTGAAATGCATTGCTTGGAAACTTCGAATAAATAACCCAAACTGGTATGTGAGTCTCCAGTGGCAAGGAATCTTAATGTTATGACCAATCTTTATTTCACTCTTTCTTTAACCGGAATACATTTCCTAAAAGTTGTATTTTTTCTTTCTATACGGGGGCCAACTAAGTTAATAAGTCTTTCAAAATCAGTAGCGGACATGCGATAAAAATTATTAAAAAACACTGAAAACTGTTTGTAAATCGCGTAGATGTTTACTTTTACTGTGCTGGAATCTACTTTTGAA